CGCAGAGTTGATTCCGATCTCCAGCATCCTGGTGGACGTCGTTCCAGCAGATGCGGCAGCGTTCGTTGTCTCAATTTGTCCGGTGGAGCGGCCGGGTGTGGGAAAGCATGAGAAGAGTGTAGACGTATTGTGATAAGAGGACATCACATCTACAGCTTGAACGCCTCAGAAAGAGTAGAGTGTCAGAAGGTTGTTTTTGAAACACCTCAACTTTGTTCGACTGGCTGGTCCCTGTCGGCATCACAAGACCCTTCGGTTTTTGGTGAGTCTTTCATTCGTGATTCATGATCATTCAATATCTTGGGTGTATCCTATTCCCTGTAACAATGGGTGATGATGGTTGGTAAATAGTAAAGGCCTTTCTCTAAAATAGTGGTAAGTGTTTACCGACTGTTACAAATAATAGGACCCCCCAAATCATTAATCTATAGAATCGACACCTCAAACATCTGCTGCTCTTTGAACCACACTACCCATCTGATGTAGTCATTCAATCTCTAAACCCAGGCAGCTTCAACTTGTGCATAGTTGAAACCTTCGGTCTGACTGGGAGCCGCGATCGGGACTGCTCCCTGCGCCCTTGGAAAACTCGGTGTTCGCAGTGTCACATGCCACTTGGATCTCTTGCCAGCTCAAAGAGTCGTCAAACACCAGGGAGGCTGAAGAGTTGCAACCCGACACATGTACGTTGATCTGATCTATTAATATATGATGTATATTATGATATATTATGATTATTAGTATTATATATTTATTATATATATTATATATAAGAATATAAGTGGTCTTCGACCCGTTTTGATCGACATCCCACAAGAATCCACTTGGACTCGCGTTCGTCGTGCGCTCGAGGATCTCGCTGCCCTAGACATGAGAGCGGTTCACCCGCCCACCGTCGAACAGCTCGGCGCGCTCGGCGCAGGTCTTGGGTCCCCCTGCCTCCACCTTGTCCATGCCCGGTGGCTCCCGCAGATAGCCGAAGAGGAGCCTGAGATGGGGTGAGACCAAGATGCAGCAGGAAATGACTAGGAAAAGGATGGAGTCATGGTGCTTCTGGAAGATGCATGCAACATAGTTGGAAAATCTCCCATCATCCACAAGCCGAAAAAAAACACGCCTCCAGTCTTTTAACCTTCTAGGGCTGGTGACTCCCCACCCATTCTCTGAGCCCCCATACCTCCCATTCTTCACCCAGCGACAAGGAGAGGCTGAAGCCGCAAACGCCCACGCAAGCGAAGGGCGCCTGCCAGCCCCAGGCAGGGCCCATGGTTCCATCTAGGCCTTGCCCCAGACCAGGGCCAACACCACTGATGATGGCCTTGGCAGGCACTGGGCTTACCGCCTGGGGGAGGATCCCATGGGCCTCAAACTCACATGACTGAACAAAGATGGTCACTGGCTGGATCTGCAGGCAGCCAGACTTGGGCACAGGAATTCAATTCGGCAGATTCACCTGGAAGTACTGAGAGTCTCTCTACAACTCATGCAATAGCCTCTAGGCTCACCTCTCTCTCAGTGCCCCCAATGTCTCCAACTCCCCACGGCCCCACCGCTTTGGCCCCACCGGGCGTCCACCAGGGCCACCGCGTGGGGCCGCTCCTCAGCGGGGTAGAGGTCCGCCAGCATGGCGAAGCTCGCTGGGAGCAAGCCGCCCAAGGCGGCGCCCACGGCGCCGCGGCACAGGAGGATGCCGCCCAAAGAGGAGGCCTAGAGGCCCGGAGAAATAGTGGGGGGGCACGGTCAGTAGGAGTCCAGGAAGCGGAGGATGGTTGGGGAGCAGTTCTTTTTTTGAATGGGGAAGGAGAATATGGATGAAGATGGGACAAATCTGGACAGATCTAGTATGCTTTGAGCAGGTTTGACCTAGGCAAACGATCCAAGACATTAATGCTATAGTGCAAACAGAGCTTGCCAGTGATGAACATGAGAAGTAAACGGGGGCAACATTGATGATGCCAGCAGGATTGGCTCCAGAATGACTGAAGTAAAAGACCGTTTCTCCTCAAAGACCTGCCCAAGTCACATGTTTCCAGTGGTCATTCGAACTCCATGGATGAGCTCCTCCAGCAGACCTTTCTCTTGTTGAATGGGTGGAGAAGAGTAGAACAAAGCAACAAAAAATCAAAGTGGAAGCCTCGATATTTACCAACATGATGGAGTTACCACTTTTCCTGTTGAGCAACCATGTATGCTTGACTATGCTTGACTCCCGATGTCAAGTACGTAGTAGAAACTCCTTGGCCAAGGATCTGCAAATAGAGCGCTCCTTGGCCCCCCCAAAACCGTTGTCTGGCAGCCTAGAAGTTGACACTTTCTCTCAGATGGACCCCAGACTACCTGGGACCACCTCTCCGGGGACCTCCCCCAGATTGCTCAGAAAGCTTCGGGCTGTCAACGAATCCCACCTGTGAGTTCAGAAACGTGCCAGCCGAGCCCAAAAGCATGCCTCAGCTGATGCATCGTCGACCTTCGCTGATTCTTTTTATGGCAGGTCGGATGGCGACCGCTGAGAGACAGTGAGAGCTGCTCTTGGTGGACTCCTTCGCACTGAACATGATTGCTAGAGCTAACAAATCGTCATCAATATCATCAATCTTGGATTCCGTAATGTTCCATAAAGGACCATGACCCATCTAGAAATCCGACCTGCCATTGACCAAAAACCGATGAAAGCTTGCTGATGGATGAAAGAGTGAACAAATCAAGAGATCATGATGGATCCATGCGAGATTCCGGCTCCAATTCGAACCGCCAATGATGTTTGACTCCAAAGCATCCCACCCCACCACCTCATCATCCCCCCAACACCGAGCTCGCACGTGGTGCGAAACACGTCGTTGGGCCCAGCGTCAGATCCGCACGAGGCTGATGCGGCGCATCACGTCGGCCAAGCGCCCCGCGAGGAGCGAGGACAGGGCGCCGCAGGTGAAGTAAACCACCGAGACGAGGCCCCCCAGAAGCTCCTCAAACCAGGCCGAGGCTGAAGGACCAGGCTGGGGGGTGGAAAAGGCGGGACTGGGACATCTAGCTAGCGTTTAGCCTGAAATAGCACGAAATGAGATGGAGATCCAGTGTGATTGCAAAGGTCAGTCAGAAAAAAAAATCTATCAGTTTGTTTGTTCATCATCAAATGCATTTATACAATCTATCTACAGAACACACAGTTTTAGTTCGAAGAAAGGGATTGAATTTGAACAGCTGACACTCGTTGCCTTTCTGGCATGTTTTTTTTTCGACGATCTGCTTCCCAAAAATATTTGAGGAGATCTCCAGATCAATTCAATGAATCTCCATCTGGTCTGTGGTTTCTCGAAGCTTTCGATCAAAACGTCCAAAACACCGCGAATGACACCGGAGTCTGTGTCAAAGTAACGGAGGACCGCTGACCAATGGGCTTGATCAATCAAGGCCAGGGTTCTAACATGCTCTAACCTCTCTCATCACCTTTCAGAAGTCTCATTTCCCTTTGAACACAGGGGCTTCTCCTCCGAGTCAGCTAGTCTACAGTGTACAGTCTACTCGTTTAGTGAGTGTTTCATGTTTCACCGTCTTGATCCCATTTTTAAAGCCCTCCAACCATCGGATGTTCTCCCAGTCTGGTCGTGTTCTCCAGGTTCTCTCAAGGCAGTGTTCTCCAGGTTTGCATCGACCCGTCGAGTTCACCACGTGACGCTCCGCCAAGCGTCATCCTTTTCGTGCTCGTCCAGTCTGAGTTCCTCAGCTACCTGTGACATGTTGGTGGAGAGGAGCGGCTGGTCCGCCAGCAGCAGCATCTGAGCCAGTGCCAGGGGAAGAAGCTTGCCATGTTGTCTGAACTCCGCACGCACAGCGTTACAGATCCTCGGTGTTGGGTGCTCCGAGCGCCGCCTGTCACAGGTGTTTAGTCACCAGAGTTGACTGGGCGATGGTTCGTCACCAAACGCAACATGTCCATGTTCCGCCCTCTGTTTTGAAAGCATGCCTGAGCTGGTCAACGGCAAAAAACATCGGACAACTTGGGGATGTGTCCAATCGCCCAACCCCCCAAAACAGATTGAAACAAGGACCATATTCACAAGTCCATCCGCTCTTTCCTGGCTCCGTCTCAAATCTAAAAAAGGCTCCGTCTCCAGCGCATGCAGGGCCCCAGCTCTCTCCCTTCGAGAGGGGTGTCGCCGAGCAGAGGGGGCTTCCCAGGACTCCCAGAGATCTCCAGGGCCATGGGCCACACGTCCGACGGAAGCCACAGTGAACGAACGAATCGTGGGAGCTTGGGGCGTTGGACACGTGGCGAGGCTAGGGGCGAACGCGGATGCGCAGGTCGTGAAGCTGATGGATTCGGCTTTGTATGAGTCAAGGGCCCAGGTTCTTGCTGACAGGGAAGAAAGAATGAAGATGCTTCTGGAGGGCTCCATCTTGCAAAGAAGGACTAGAAAAGCCTTTGGCTTCATTGACATTCTTCCACCACACCATGGTTGCACTTGAAGATGCCCAGAACTATGCCATGATGTGGCGATGATGCAGCGTGGTTCCAGCATGCCTGATCTGGAAATGCCCAGGCCGGCCACAAAGGATTGGGAAACGGAGAGCTCAGATCTTGAAGCAAACTTCAGAGGCGAGCCTTTGACTGGTTTTGGGTGGAAGCCCTGGTAGAAAGCAGTAGAGTCTGTTTTGGATTGCTCTGCTTCCAAGATCCCTGATCTCTACATCCCACACCCGAACTAAATCCAGCTTGTCACCCACCATACCTGCAAATCACTAGCTCCATACCTCCCCCAGTCCTTTCCACCGACAGCGGAGGTGGCCTTCCAAACATCGACCGTCGACCGTCGACCGCCGGCCAGAGCGTTTTGGTGTTCGGTGCTAGGCCAGAAGCACAGGGATCACGTCCATTTTTCAGTATTGTTCACCTCCGGTTCTGTGTTGGTCAGCATGATTTTCTTTTTGGATTGGGTGCGTTGCTGCGCTCGGCTTAAAAGAACCAACACCACGGCCCTGCACTGCAGCTCGGCGCCCCGGGCGGTGAGTCCGTTGACGAAGCTCGGCTCGTCGGAAGGGATCTGAAGCCTCGCCCCGAGATGCAGGTCGGCTTCTTCTGTCCAGGGCAGGGATGTGGCTGAAAAACCCAAGCAATACCAACAGAGGTTGAAAGGCCCTATATATTCTCAGGTACCCCGGTACCCCTGTAGTGTCCTATTTACGGTCACTTAACCTCTGTTGGTAGACAAGTAACACTTCATGAGTTGCTTCATGTTCTTGGTGTGCTGTCTTCTCTTGTCAACAGGGTTTTGGAGGCGCTAATAATTCTTTGTTGGATGTGTTCGAGCTAAACCCACACGACTGTGGCAAATCATGATGGATTTGTGTCGGAGAGTACCAACAACCAAAGTCCGCCCTATTTAGCGTCCCTACTGACACCAAACTTCTCAGCCAGCGAACCAGTCCTGGTCGATGAAAGCATTTGCTGCATGGGTGCGCCCATCCACAAATGAGCACTGCGTCGTCAAGTGGATTTGGTTCAGGATGGATTTCTTCCCGCGGAAAATCATTCAGGATGTTTGAACCAACCAGTCCAAAAAGTTCCATATTCCACACATGTCCCCGAGGCCAGGGTTTGAATCCACTCGTGAAGCAAGTGATTGAAGGCACTTGCTAAGGGACCAAAACATCAAGATCTTGGGCACAACAGGTCTTTGAATTCTCGTTCCGCGCCACTCGACAATGAGTTGCAGATCTTGATCCACGCAAAAACACGTTCAACATAAGCCAGTGAACCCGTTTGGTAGAACCCCTGGTCCACACCAACAAGGGGTTTGACCATGTTTGACCGGTTCACCCCGGGTCCACACCGAGGACGACTCGCCGACTTCGCCCTCCAAGGGGCCACAGCGCGACGGCCGCGAGGAAGCTCAGAAGCACGTGCCCACGACGAGCCATCCCTGCGAGGCGGAGGTCCATTGTGCGGACCAAGGCTATGGACCTGAATGGCTTTGGTAGCTTGACTTGGGATGGGTTGAGTATGGTTGAGTCGCCCTTGCTTAAAGAAGAGGCAAACAAGAAGCAACAGCCCATCACAGCCGCTCACTGCCGCTCATCTTTGTGGCGATTCACTCTCAAACCGACATATCATCTAACTTTGCATGTAGTGGATCTCAATTCCTTCTTGCGGAAACGCCCTTCTTCGCGAAACAAAACCGGCTTTACTTTCACGAACCCTGACGTTCAACTTTCGCGGGGGTATATGCTAGAAGTCTTCTTGGTTTGGTAGTTTTATGTTGTTTCCACATACCTCTCTTTCGCACGGTCCAGCATCTAGTATCGTTCGCTAACACGGTCCAGCATGTTTGCGAACATCAGAGGCTCTCAAGAAGACCCAGGCCGCTGTCACGACCTGATGAACTACCAGGCTGTTGCTCGGAATCGAACCATGGGACAGCCTCGTTTGGTGGGACATCTTCCTTTCCGAAAGAGGACGTCTATTTCATTCTATTTCTGAAGGTGAAGGGAGGATTCTGAGGGGAGGAACAGTGATATAAGATGATATAAGTGATAAGTCCTCAGCAACTTCAACCCTTTTCCATCTTTTCCAGGCCCTTCCAGGCCTACAAGAGGTGCGGTGCGTGCGGTGAAGTTCAAGTGACACCGCGAAAATCAGGGCTGCGGAGACGAGTCCAACAGTCATCGTCATCGAAGTCGAAGAAGGGCTGCGTTTGAGTGCGTTTGAGATCATGAAACCACCCTGAATGCCTTTTTTTGAGACATGGCACCTCCTTTAATATTTTTAACCATGTTTTTGAGGTCCCACAGCGTCCAACATGTCCAACGTCGTTTCGTTGTTCGAATGAAGATATACCATGGCCACCACCAGGTTGACTGGATCAATTGTGACTTTAGGCTTTAACCGTAGACAGGCTCCCCGAACAAACTTCGGCAACACGAAGCACCTTTGGAGCGTATGAGAATGCTCTACAGCCCCGATTAATCTACAATTCGCTGAAGGAAGGATTGGTCTTGTGTAGCTCAAAGGCTCAAACTGTGCGCTTCAACACTTAGTTGTTCAGCTTCGATGAGTTTCTGAGGGATCTGTTTCTTCAATCCTTTCGTTGCCAAATGTTCATTTTTGTTTTATTTAAAATGTGTAAAAAGGATTTGCAAACATGTCATCTGAAGGTGCTCAAACCAGTCAAGTGCCGATGTGGTTCCTTGGTTCATCATCCTAGCCACTTGCCTTTTTCAGATCCTAAAAGATCGTACGTGTCTAGTCCATCTGATGAACAGTCTCGACCCAACAGGCTGGCTAGAGCTGGCTTGAGCTCGTTAAGTCCTGCAAAGCGAGGCACCTGAGATGACCTCGTTCGGCCCAGGTCGCTCCGCAGATCTCTTTGTTCCACAGCGGTAAGATCGTCAGCATCGAGGCCCAGGTCCCTCTTGCTGTGGGTGAAATCCCTTGAGACCAGTCACGGACCAAATGCCAGGGGAACCGAAATCACGGCCCCTCCGGGAGACTGCGCCTACACCGGACCCTGGAATCTGCCGCCAATCGGATGCCTTCATATGATCTGTACCAACCCAGATTGGGTTCGATCCCAACGTGCCATGGGGCCTAGAGAACGGACAGTTTCTCGATGGTCAGTTCCAACGTCTGGTGTTGACGTCGATGACCCGTGACCCGGTAGACGAGGAGGGACGGCCCAGAGTCGATCGACCACCTGAAAAAGCCCAAAGGTCCCCATCTGCAAGGACCTACCTTCAACACCCTTCCACCTTAACAGGCCAGTCTAGGAATTGAGGGTCCAGCTGCGTTCCTCTCCCAGCGTCCACCAATAGGTCAGCTTTGCCACGTCCAGCCACACCCCTGATGGAAAAAAACAGAAACACAACATACAGTATCTAAGCCATTCTAAGCCCGAAAGGCACAAATCACACGTTGATGGTCTCAGTCTTGCTGGACGTCGCAGGTCCTGCCATGTCCTGTTTGGGCATAACGCCTCCTGTTTGGGCATAACTGTGCAGCTCGCTCAAATGTGCGAGCTCTCTCCATGATGGACCCTTTTGCCAGGCAGATTTCCGATCCGAGGGCATCAAGGGCTGCCCGAGACTCATCCGGTCCGGATGAGATTGGTGCTATTAATGCTAGTTATATCAGGATGGACCGAAGAAGCTCCCACCAAGTTACGACTTTAAACAACAACAATGGCAAAAACGTGGCCGAACAACTCGTTTTTCACAGCTCGAAATCAAAAAGACTCTCCGGACGGTCACCTAAAATGGATGCTTTCTCCGGTTTAAGATCATTGGACCACCCTGTATCCAATCTTCAAAGCCCTCACTCAATCTCAGCCTTTGCACCGGCCTCCTCCAACTGCTTCTTGGCGTCCTGATGGGCGGCGCATCGAGGGCGGCCAGAAAACTGCCTCTTAGACGAAAAACGCTGTGATGCAAAGCACAGTCCCAGGTCTTTGAGGAATTCATGATATTTGGTTTGATGTTTTACTAGTTCCCTTGACTTCCATTCGGAACTAACTTGGAATCCCTGACCCAATCACTACTCCTTAAACTGCTGCCCATCCTCACCCCCTCAGTCATGAACTCCCTAGCCTCCGTGGCTGCACAATTTGCATATGGCATATGGTCCAAGCATCGAACACGGACTGGACTGCGCTTCTGAACGGCTGTGGGTCCAAACCCGGGAGACCGACCGGTGTTTCCCAATCAGCGGTCGCCGCCCCGGACCGACAGATCAACGGCTCGGACGGGCTCATTGAAGCTGGGGGGGGGTCTTCTTGGCTTGCAAGGGGCCCCATACTCCGCAGGGCCTAAGCCGCTCCCGGTGGCTCGGCTCTTGAGCCGCTTGAGCCGCCTGTCAAGCTTGAGCCGCCCGCGAGCTCCGCCCGGTGCCTCGCATGCTTCCTTGGGCTTGCCCTCGATGATCTGGCAGGTCGGGGGAAGAGTTTGGGAAGGTCGGGCAGGATTCTGGTGATGTTCGGTCAAAGCCCCACTGGCTTGATAAGACCACGTCAAGATCCCAAAGGACCTGCTCCCAACCGGGAAATCCGTGAGACCAGGGTTTGAGTGGAAGAAGCTGGAACGCGACCGCTGGGGCATGACCATGGTTCACCTGGTCCTTCTTAGCACGGTCGCTGAAGCTTGGCCACCCAGGCTGCGCCAAGCGCAGCTGAGTTCCGCCGAGGTCGGAGGGTTTTCAACAGAATCTCACTCCCTCGGAATCAACCATGTTGAACCAAACGCCACTCACTGAAGATCTGACACATTGGCGACACCAAAAAAAGACGAATAGGCTGGGCCGGGGACTGTGAGCTGGTGACGTACCAATCAACTTCATCCCGATACGAGAATCCAAGCACCACTGGAGGACTGCTATAGATGACTTCTTACACGAGCACCCGTGTCCCACTGGAAACACCCTACACTCGCAATTAGTATCGCCTGCAGCCTCTGCTGGATTAGCAGATTAGCACCTTGCAAGAATCAGTTTTGCACATTGGAAAGGTAGACCTCCAGTCTTGAGTCACAATGCTGGTGAAGCCTAATATCCCAATTCCATCCTTCCACCGAAATTGAGACTTTGGGGCGTTCTGATCTGGAAGAAACCTACCGCCCCACTACTCAGCGTTCTTTCAACCGAAAATTTAAAAGATAAACACACACATCGCCAAAACATGTTGTTTGTGTTGCACCGATGGCGTGTGGGACAATGCGGGGTTTCACGCCGTGAGATCTCCGCCGTGTACGATCGCCTGCCATCTGAAGCCATCAAATCTGCCCAACCAGTCAGTCAATTCTGCTACGTGACCGACAATTGGGTCTAATGATCGGATGATTCTGATTATTCGGTGCCACCCAGGCCTTTTTCATCACACCCACTGCACACACGGATTGTCTGCCTTGCCGGGATTGTCTGCCAAGCCCTTCGCTTCCTTCAAGCCCAAGCCTGCTGCAGGCAGCTGTCACAGAGCAGGCTGGGCAGGTTGGGCAGCTTGTTGATGCGTGCCATGTCTGGACTACCAGCTTTGAACCTTTGGTCCTCACGACTGCTCGTACAACATCCGAGAAGGGACAAAGGGACAGCTACCTAAGGTCGGTTTTTTTTTTCGCCCGGTGCGAATCTTTGTCCAATAACTGTAGCAAACAAAGGAATTTGGATGGTGCATTCAAGAATGGTGGATCTGCGTCTCTTGGTGCAGGCAAACGAAATAGCTCGGCCAAGCAGTTGGAAAATGGCTTCGATAGCCATATTTGGAGGTCTCTAGCCATGATGGGCGAACACCTGAAGTTCACCCCTTCAGGAATTTTGCAGCTCAGCCTCTTTTCAAGTGAATACTTCCATAGTCAATCCGCGCTTAGCCTCCGGCTACCTGTAGATTCTCCACTACCACTGCTTCCCTTTTGGCGGCTCCACTACCACTGAGCCGAAGAAAAAGGCAAATGGAAGGCCTCTGATGGCCTTGTGGGGGTTGTACACGACAGGGGAGAGAGGTTCGTCAGTCGATTCGTCACATCAATGAAAACAGCCTGAATCAAGTGTTGTGTGCGGGAAAAAACCACAATGAACCACAATCACCTAGCTCTGGGATAGGCAGGTTGGCTGGTTCAGGGCCTGTGATACTTCGGATGGCTTTGATCACTGCGATCTTCTTCTCTTTTGGAACCTCAGCTGCGAACATCTGGGGCAGCTAAGGGTGGAGCTGGAGCTCCTTTCCGCAAACACATGGGATTTTGCTGGTCATTGTGCCATACTAGGCGGAGAGGAACTCGTCCATCAAGGGTATTGGAACCTGTCGACTATACAAAGTAGCCATTGCTAGGTTGCTCATTAAGAGTGTTATCTTCATCCTTCTTTGCGCCTCCTCTTGTGGAGTGAGGCGGGTGTTTTCACGCCTCGCGACTCGCCACAACCAAACAGTTATTGACTCAATAACCAGTGGATCCCAGTTACCACTAGACTATATAGTCTTTGGAACCACTGGTTACCAGCTATAGTGGTAACTGGATGCCCTGGGATAGGTATCTATCTGGAAGTCAATCTTGGCTGCCGAGATCTGGCTGAACATGTTGGCAACAACCACAAACCGTGTGGCGATTCGAAACAACCAAAGCACCAATACCCCCCAAAAAAGGGAACATAGACCAAACTTTCTGCAACCAACAAAGTGTTAGTCAGATCGTCCCTTGCATACCATGTCCACCTATTGATTTTGGAAAGGGACCCCAATCTGCAAACACATTGCGTGGTGATGCAGTACGCGGCAAAATAGATCCATCATCACCAATACGTTGCCAGATCATGCTAGATCATTAGAACATATTAGAACTACTGTATCCATATATGGACGTCAATGGTATCATCTATCTAGTATCTATGACAAGACTGACACATAATAACTACAAAAAACTTAGCTACTACGTTCGAGATATATACTTCAAGCAAGTCTGTCGTGATGGCTAAACACACCTTAAGCCTTATGCCCTTTAAGCTGCTCTCTCTCTCTCTCTATCTCTCTCTCTCTCTTTCTCTTTCTGCGGGGCTCTATCTGTCTCTCGTTTGGTCGAGTCACTTCCTTCAAGATCAAGTCAAAGTCCGTCTTCTCAGGTGCGGCTTCCTCCGCGCGACCGACGCGCGTCGGTCGCCGACCGCGTCGTGGACAGTCGGTTGTGCACCGGAGGACGTGCGCGCGACAGGATCTCCAACGGTCGTCGACTGGCTGGATTCATTGGACCACCGGATGCATTTGGACAGCTACAGGGCCTGTAACTGGCAGGCTTTTGGCAAGTATTGCTATGTTATGCTATATTATAAGGTCCAATGTGGCCAGATGTGGCCTGGACAGATTGGTCATTGCCTGGTCGCACAAAGGCTTAAGTTTCGCGGATCAATGATGATAGGGCTCTGCCCCGGCACACTAACAGTCACCACAAATCATACTTGGGGTCTGCTTTCTTTTTTTCCCAGATAGCGAAGCTATAGGGGTTCTTACTTCTCAATGGATGGGTTCCTGATTGCGGAAATTGGCTGCCGCTGCCGCTGCCGCCTTGTTTCCCAAGCTTGTCTCCCGTCATGATTTCGCTCTTGGCTGCCGCTGCCGCCTTGTCTGTGAAGCGTGTCTCCCTTCATGATTTCGCTTTTGGCTGCCGCTGCTGCCTTGTCTGTGAAGCTTGTCTCCCTTCATGATTTCGTTCTTGGCTGCCTCTGCCGCCTTGTCTCCCAAGCTTGTCTCCGTTCATGATTTCGCTCTTGGCTGCCTCTGCCGGCTTGTCTTCCAAGCTTGTCTCCCTTCATGATTTGGCTCTTGGCTGCCGCTGCCGCCTTGTCTCCCAAGCTTGTCTCCCTTCATGATTTCGCTTTTGGCTGCCGCTGCCGCCTTGTCTCCCAAGCTTGTCTTCCTTCATGATTTCGCTTTTGGCTGCCGCTGCTGCCTTGTCTGTTCAGCTTGTCTCCCTTCCTCATTTCGCTCTTGCCTGCCGCTGCCAGCTTGTCTCCCAAGCTTGTCTCCCTTCATGATTTCGCTCTTGGCTGCCTCTGCCGC